CTAAAGTGTGTGACACCAATGGTAGCAATTAAGCTCAAATGTCCATTGAATTGAACTGCTAACATTTCTTTTAAACAAAATCAAGACAGTGGAGTAAACAATGTTACTTCAATTATATTTTCTCTTAAAATGTAATGAACCCTCAGGGGGTGGGGGGAATGGGTTAGCCTGGTGAGGGTATTAAAGAGGGCACGTATTGAATGGAGCACTGGGTGTTATATGCAAACAATGAATCATGGAACACCACATCAAAAACTAATAATGTATGGTGATTAACATAACATAATAAAATTAAATTTAAAAAATATATATAATGAACCCTCAGAATCCATAAAGATACAAAAGCAGACATTAATGTTAACTATAGTTTTAAAGTTAATACCCAGTGACAGCAATCTGTGACAATTATAGTCATTTATTTTTCATACAATGCTCAAAATGAAGTGGTTTCTATACTAACAGGTTTTTAAACACATAGTAATTAAAAGAATCAAGCATTCAACCATATTGACTACATATACTTAAATTACTCAGAACATTTTTACTTTTTTTTTAAAGATTTTATTTATTTATTTGAGAGAGAGAGAATGAGAGATAGAGAGCATGAGAGGGAAGAGGGTCAGAGGGAGAAGCAGACTCCCTGCCGAGCAGGGAGCCCGATGCGGGACTCGATCCCGGGACTCCAGGATCACGACGTGAAGTCGCTTAAGCAACTGAGCCACCCAGGCGCCCACTCAGAACATTTTTATATACTATTTATAAACTGCAATTTGTTAATCAAGTTTACCCACAGTAATAAAAATATTTACCAATAAATGATTTTAACAAAAGGGCTAAATACACAATATATTTGTGTATATAATATAAAGTTAGAAAAACTGAACACTCCAGAGCACAGGTACTAAACATATAACAAATATATACTACTTGAAGAGTTTATTTTTTTTAAAGATTTTATTTATTTATTTGACAGAGACAGACACAGCAAGAGCGGGAACATAGCGGGGGGGTGGGAGAGGGAGAAGCAGGCTTCCTGCGGAGCAGGGAGCCCGATGTGGGGCTCGATCCCTGGACCCTGGGATCATGACCTAAGCCGAAGGCAGAAGCTTAACAACTGAGCCACCCAGGTGCCCCTACTTGAAGAGTTTAAACTTCAAGTTCCATTAGTTAATAAAATAATAGACATTTAAAAAAATAGACATTTAAAAAAAATAACACTCAAACTGTAAAATACAATTAATTTATATCGGGAAAGGAAAGCAAGTTCTCTAAATTAAAAAAAAACAAATACACGTAAAATTATTTCAGTGAACATATGTTGTTTTTGTCTGTCCAGCAACCTTTCTCTCCTCTCCAGGAAATGACACCTCAATTTTCCTAAAGAAGAACCATACTTTGGTTGCCTAATTTTTTTTTTTTCTAAGTAATCTCTACACCCAACATGGGTTCAAACTCACAACCACAAGAGGGGGATGCTTTACCGACTGAGCGAGACAAGCGCCCCGATGTTGTTTACTCTTAATTCATGTGGTTCAAAACTGTATGCCTATACCCCACTCCATGGTGAGAACAAGATCCAACCCTGACTACACAAAGCATTCTGTCACTCTAGCCATAGAGATTGCCTCTAGGATAGGCAATGACACAGTCAGGTTAATGAAATTCCCATATGGTAGTCTGTTGGAATCATAGAAAAAGGGAAGTTCTCTCTCTTTTGGAGTTTCTAAGGCTGTAGGATGTAAGCCTGGTGCTATTAGTACCATCTCTCCCAGGGAGCTTTACTTGAGACTCTACTTTTCCATACTGATTCCCAAATACCCAAAAGGAACTAGTGGTTACCTGCTGGCAGGGGAAAAGATAAACTAGGATTTCGAATTTCAATGTTATATTTTCCATAATGTTTCCATTTTTCAAAAGCAGGCACATACACTTTTATAACAGGAAATAGAAAACATTTAAAAATACTGCCTGTTTTCTTCTCAAATATGCTCAGATACCAATATTTAATGTCTTAAAAGTATTAACAATTTTATCATAATTTTCAAAGTGTAGAGAAAATCTATTTTAAAAGAATCAACTTTTTCACTTGGCACAAAAACAAGCTATTTTTGTTTTGGGGGGGTTGTGAGTAAAATTTTTAAAAAATTGGTTCTCTTAAAAAAGATGGTTCTCAGGGCGCCTGGGTGGCTCAGTCGTTAAGCGTCTGCCTTCAGCTCAGGTAATGATCCTGGGGTCCTGGGATAGAGCCCCATGTTGGGCTCCCTGCTCCACAGGAAGCCTGTTTCTCCCTCTCCCACTCCCCCTGCTTGTGTTCCCTCTCTCGCTGTGTCTCTCTCTGTTAAATAAATAAAATCTTAAAAAAAAAAGTTTCTCTTTTTAAAAGGAATATATGACACAATTCTATATGGAAAAAATTGGTTAACGTTTTAGGAAGTTTCGCAGCCACTATAAAAATTACTCACTAAAACTAAAGATTAAAAGTGACCAAATTAGGGGGCGCCTGGGTGACTCAGTCGGTTAGGCTTCTGACTCTTTTTTTTAAAGATTTTATTTATTTATTTGACAGAGAGAGACACAGCGAGAGAGGGAACACAAGCAGGGGGAGTGGGAGAGGGAGAAGCAGGCTTCCCACGGAGCAGGGAGCCCGATGCGGGCTCGATCCCAGGACTCTGGGATCATGACCTGAGCCGAAGGCAGACGCTTAACGACTGAGCCACCCAGGCGCCCCAGGCTTCTGACTCTTGAGCTCAGCTCAGGTCTTGATCTCAGGGTCCTGAGTTCAAGCCCCGAGCGGGGCTCCATGATAGGCGGGAAGCCTACTTTAAAAAAAAAAGAAAGTGACCAAATTAGGTTTAATAACTTTATCAATTACTTTAGTCCTATAATTCTGAATAATATAAGACCTGAAAGGTCAGTTAAATCTTTTAGTTATAATTATTTTACATAATACTGCATTATGGGAGAAGTTACATACCATTGTTTCTTCTTAAATATAGGAAAGTCAGTCTCTTGAGAATGTAAAAGTTCTACTGAATATAGTAGTCTATAAATTACAAAGGAAGACAGCAATACATGCTTTTATTCTCTTGCTTTTGTTAGCTTCTATCACTCTTTCCCTTTCTTCGCAAGCTCAGAACCCACTCCTGAATCTTCTCTTTTTTTAAGTATTACTGTGTTTTATAATCTTCAGTAAGGACACTCAGAAGGCGCCAATGACACTTTCTTGATATAATTAGATGGCCAGAGTGATGTTCTTTTTTTTCCTTCAAATTTTTATTTAAAATCTAGTTAGTTGGGGCGACTGGGTGGCTCAGTCATTAAGCGTCTGTCTTCGGCTCAAGTCATGATCCCAGAGTCCCAGTATCGAGCCCCACATCGGGCTCCCTGCTCAGCGGGAAGCCTGCTTCTCCCTCTCCCACTCACCCTGCTTGTGTTCCCTGTGTCTCTGTCAAATAAATAAATAAAATCTTTAAAAAAATAAAAATAAAATCTAGTTAGTTAACATATAGTATAGTATTGGTTTCAGAAGTAGAATTCAGTGATTCATCACTTACATACAACACCCAGTCCTCATCGTAAGAAGTGGCCTCTGTAATACCCATCCCCATCTAGCCCATCCCCTACCCTCCTCCCTCCAGCAACCCTCAGTTTGTTTTCTATCTTTAAGAGTCAGAGTGATGTTCTTAAGTGGAAGAGATAATCACCTATCAAGGATGACTACAGGACGCCTGGGTGGCTCAGTTGGTTAAGCAACTGCCTTCGGCTCAGGTCATGATCCTGGAGTCCCGGGATCAGGTCCCGCATCGGGCTCCCTGCTCAGCGGGGAGTCTGCTTCTCCCTCTGACCCTCTCCCCTCTCATGCTCTCTCTCTATCTCATTCTCTCTCTCAAATAAGTAAATAAAATCTTTAAAAAAAAAAAAAAGGATGACTACAGAGAGCATCTGGAGGCCAGCGGCATCTTCTTACAAACAAGTGGCAGATTCTAAAAAGTTAAGATAAGGTGATACTCAACAAGCTCATTACCTTGTCCAACTCCAGAAAGACAGCTTGTTCATCATCCTGGGCAATAGCTATGCCTCAAAATGTGGACGTTTTATTAATTAGTCATATGGTTTAACTTAACTCTAAACCTTAACTCTCCCACATCTATCAAACCCCAAATCGGTTCACTTTGTCTGCAAACTCCTTTCTTCTACTGCTAGATCACTTGCACACATGACCCCAAGGAATGCTTTAACATAAACAAAGGTAGGGGCGCCTGGGTGGCTCAGTTGGTTAAGGATCTGCCATCAGCTCAGGTCATGATCCTGGAGTCCCGGGATCGAGTCCCACATCGGGCTCCCCGCCCAGCAGGGAGTCTGCTGCTCCCTCTGACCCTCTGGCCCTCTTCCCTCTCGTGCTCTCTATCTCTCATTCTCTCTCTCAAATAAATAAATAAAATCTTAAAAAAAAAACATAAACAAAGGTATATCCAAACCACCTTAAAAACTGAAATAAAAACATTTATAAAAGTAACAAAGAAAATGGGTCTTTCCAGATACAACAGGGGGAATATTTTACTCTAGTCCCTTAGCCACAAAATGGTTATTCTGCTTATATTTACAAATACCTACAATACTTTTTAGGCATCTGAAAGGGAAGTAAAAGAAAACCGTAAGATCGCAGAGACAGGAACTTAAAGAACAGCCCGTTTTAAACTCTTCTCTCAACATTCTCACAGAGTAACGCTCGGCTCATTCTCAAAACATCCTATGGTGGGCCAGGATGGGATGGTGAAGGAAACTTGAGTGAGACTGAGAACAGGAAGACATTGGAAAAGATAAAAACTGAATAGTCCAAGAAGGCTGCACTTGTTTTGCTCCTTCGGGTCCCCACTGATTTTCTACTTCTTTTTTTCGATTTAATGATTAATATTTCTACGCATCAGAGATCTAAGTGTAAACTCCATCACCCAATTCCATCCACATCCACAAATCCCAGCGGAACCAGTCAAATATACCTGTGCGTCTCCTGGTTGTCCGAGAAGCGAGAGACGACGGCGCCCAAGTGAACCTTGCGGTTGGGAACTCGGCACTGGCAGATCTCCCGGGACAGCGAAAAGGGACGAGACGAGGTGAGCTGAAGGAAAGCGGAGGACTGGAAGCAGACACGACTAAGGACTCCTCTCAGGCCCCTGAGCTGAGCGCAAGAGGGAAGCCAGCTATGCCACCAGACCGGAGAAGTCGCCGGATCCCAGAGCCGACCAACGGGCGGCCCCGGAGGTCAGATCCCTTAAGCTGCTTCGCCCTGCCTTCCCTGTCGCCCTCCCTAAATGGCTGTCCCTTCACATCCTTCAGAGCCCAGGACTCACCTGTCCACACTAGAGCTGCCAATTCTCTTGGGTCAAAGCCGCCCGCCTCTGATAATCATAGAGATGAAAAACCAGCGGAGAAAAAACTCCACCTCCACCGCCCACCCTCACGTGACTCTCCTAGCCGCTGGGCCTGTTGGGATAGTGGCGAAACACGTATGGGAGGGGCACGGAGAACCCGCCCCGCCCCGGCCTCCGGCCCCGCCCCGGCCTCCGGCCCCGCCCCCTCAATGTTAAGGCGGGAAGGCGGGAGGGCTCCTAGAAGCTCTCTGCCTTTCCCTCTGCTACCTTCCTCCCAACGCACGTGAGCGTATACAGAAAAGTCTGTTAAATTGAATATTTTGTGCCTACTGCCACTTCGTTGGTACCCGTTTACGTGTTGACTAAGAATAAAGGAGTCAGTGAAAAGAAAACTGGACTACAGTGAGTTGGGAATTATTCCTTTTGAACTGTATTTAGGTTTAGGCTTTCAGTAAAATTTCTCTATTTCCTGACCTTGAAGCTTTTTTGAATTTAGAAACCTCACCACTTCCTCTACTCTGTGGGTTTTTCAGCTGTTCTCTTTGCAAAGTAACACTGTGGGAGAGTTTAGCCCCTAAGCTACTAATAACGTGTTTTTCTCCGAAGATGTTACTGTCAGAAGTGGGGATGGAAACGGATCGTCTCTCTTGCTATAGAAATAGAATAAAAATATTTTGATTATGATACCAGAGGACTTTCAAATAAAAAATTCCTCTTCAAGAGTTTCCTTCGCAGAGCTGTGAAAAAGGCTCAACCATGGAAACAAAAGGCGCAAACAACTATCACTGGGTTAAATTGTGAAGTAAGCGAAACAACTATTTTCTCATTTCATCTCAGAGGACCCTCCCTCCCCACTAACCTAAGAAAAACAAATCATTGTGTTCATGCCACTGTGCTAGCACTTTCTGTACAACCCAATGTTTATTTACAACTACCCTGGGGGATGGATAGTTTGTATTCAATTGCAGGGAGGGAAGCTAAGACTCCAGGTAATGCAGTAAATTCTGCAAGTGGGACACAGTTCTGATCTGAAGGACACCAAGCAAGGTCTGAGCTTGTAGCAGTATCTTCAATCTGTTGTCCTCTGGATCTACCTGCCACAGGGGTTAGGGATCTTTGCTTATTTGCTTCTCTACTATCAATATAACCTTTCCCATTTCTCTCTCCATTTAGAGCCTGCTCACTGTTAAGTGAAAAATCTGATAAAGAAATCCTTCCCCAGGGGCATCATCTGGGTGGCTCAGTCAGTTCCGTGTCTGCCTTTGGCTCAGGTCATGATCCCAGCATTCTGGGATCGAGCACTGCATTGGGCTCCCTGTTCAGTGGGGAGTCTGCTTCTCCCTCTCCCTCTGCCCCTCTCCTCTGCTTGTGCCCTCTCTCTCAAGTAAATAAATACAATCTCAAAGAAAGAAAAGAAAAGAGAAAGAAAGAAAAGAAAGAATCCCAGGCAGCATGCCTATTAACTCTCATAATGGAAAGTTCCAGTTGTGTTACAGATTACTATGGAACATCTTGGGGGTCCCATAGAATGTTAAGTACTAGCTAACTCAAACATTTCTCAGAACAAGGGAAAAGAGAAGTTAAATCATCATTACATAAATGTTGAACAAAAATCCATTAATAAGGGTGCCTGGGTGGCTCAGTCCTTAAGCGGCTGCCTACGGATCGGGTCATGATCCTGGGGTCCTGGGATCGAGCCCCACATCGGGCTCCCTGCTCAGCAGGAAGCCTGCTTCTCCCTCTCCCACTCCCCCTGCTTGTGTTCCTGCTCTCGCTGTCTCTGTCAAATAAATAAATAAAATCTTTAAAAAAAATCCATTAGTAAGAGTTGGTGTAATTTAATCTAATTTTAGGCAGTATTTGTCTATATAAAGCAAAATAAGATGTAAAAACATAAATCACTGGTTCAAAACTTTTGGTCTTTTTAGACCCTTTTACTTTCCTAAGAATTACTGAGGATCCCAAGCAACTTTTGTTTATGTGTATTGTACTTATTAATACTTAACATGTTAGAAATTAAAACTCAGCGTATTGGAAATTAGAATTAATATTCAGTCATTAAAAATAATAAACCCATTGTATGCTGATATAAATAACATTTTATGAATAATAACTACATTTTCCAAAAATCACAGAAGAGCAGCATGGTTTTACATTCCTGCAAATTTTTTTAATGTCCAGGTTATAGAAGACAGCTAATTTTCATATCTTTTCTGCACTAATCTGTTTCTTTTTTTTTTTTTGTAAGATTTTATTTTTTTGAGAAAGACAGAGAGTGAGAGAGAGCACAAGCTGGGAGGAGAGGGAGAAGCAGACTCCCCACCCAGTGGAGAGCCCAAGGTGGGGCTCTATCCCAAGACCCTGGTATCATGACCTGAGCTAAAGGCAGCCACTTAAATGACTCAGCCACATAGGCGCCCCTAATCTGTTTTGATACACATATCATGTAGCCTCTGGAAAACTCCACTGTACACTCAGAGAATGAGAGTGATAAAGGCAAATAACAGCTTGTTACTACTAGGAAAAAAGTCTTGACCTTATGGATCACTGGAAAGGGTTTCAGGAACCCCAAGACTCCTTGGACCACTCTTTGAGAACCACTGTGTTATGTCATACAAATGTTAGCTGCTATTTTCTTTTTGTCTAGCCATACTGGCAACAAGTAGAACATTTAGTGGAAAGAGGAACAAGACAGAGAAATGTATAGACTAGATCAATCATAAAGTGTAAGCATTCTTTCTTCATTTTTCAGAAGCATAGAGTACGTTAGAATTCAGGGTTATAAATGAACACAGCTATCCTGTATTAGAAATCAGTCCACCAATCCAATGCTATCTTTCAGCCTGCTGTGCAAAGTAGTTCCTCTCACATGAATATAGAATATCCCTAATGTGCGTTTGTATTCCATGCACAAACTAGGTATTAAGACTCCAATAAAATTTGAAGTCAAAATTCTTTTCATAAGCATATATCAAATGCCTACTATATGCAGGGCTCATAATAGGTGCTGGGCTTATAAAAATTTATAAGCACAGTTCCTGCCCTTGGGCAGCTTATTTATATAATGAGACTTCCATCCTGATATAAATGTATTTTTTTTTGTCATGTCCAATAGTTCCCAAATCAGCTTAATGATCAAATGTCTCAGAATTATCTGGGGAGATTTTTAAAATACAGATTCCTGGATTGTGAGATATACTATTTAAGTGGACCAGGGTGGAGCTCAGGAATTTGGATTTTTTTTTTTAAGATTTTATTTATTTGACAGAAAGAGAGATAGCAAGAGCAGGAATACAAGCAGGGGGTGTGGGGGAGGGAGAAGCAGTTGTCCTATGGAGCAGGGAGCCTGATGCGGGGCTAGATATCAGGACCAGAGCCAGAGCCAAAGGCGGACGCTTAACAACTGAGCCACCCAGGCGTCCCAGGAATTTGTATTTTTAAAAAGTGACCCAGGTGATTCCAATGCAATGAGAAATACATGCAACAAACAAATGAATTTGGTCTTTGCCCCTAGTACTATCACACGTAAAATATGATCTTTTTATTTCATCTTCAATATTTCAGAAGTATGTCATTGTTGAAACCAATCTGTGTTATCAAGAGACAGAGTACAGGGTGCCTGGGTGGCTCAGTTGGTTAAGCGACTGCCTTCGGCTCAGGTCATGATCTTGGAGTCCTGGGATCGAGTCCCACATCGAGTTCCACATCGAGTCCCACATCGGGCTCCCTGCTCAGCAGGGAGTCTGCTTCTCCCTCTGACCCTCTTCCCTCTCGTGCTCTCTATCTCTCATTCTCTCTCTCTCAAATAAATAAATAAAATCTTTAAAAAAAAAGAGTACATATTTAATTTCAGTTAAAATAAGAACTGATGTACTTATTTCAATCATTTAATAGTTCATTTGCCTTTATCACATAAAAATAATAATGTAAGATATTACCACAGCAGTTTTCAACATATCACACCACTGTAAAAAGCAAAACATCTTTTGCAACAAGCATCTGACTGCAAAAAGTGTTATTTTATAGAGCTTTGATTCAATTTCTTTAAAATGAATTCAGTGAGATGTCCCGTGTTTCATTACATTTATCTTCAGGGTTCCACAGATTATGTTATAGAATGTCAAAACTTATCCAGTCCTCCATCACAAATTTATTTTGATGATACATTATATTCCATAGTTATCTAGAGACTTAAGATCCACAGTTGCTGTTGCTAATAATTGTAGCCAGAATTAATTAAATTCAAGTAAATAAGAAAAATCCAAAAAAACAAGCTAAAGTTTCTTTTTTTCTTACCACAAAGGGAAAAAAAGGAAATAGCTAAATCAGCCATAAATATGATGATTTGTAAAAATCTATATATATTCCTTTTGATTTTATGATCGAAACTAACTTCAAAATTAAAGTTTCCCTGCCCAGATCTTGATTTCTAAATACCTGTCCCCATGAAAAGTAACCAGCGCTTCTTAGAGAAACAGCTGATTTCAGGGCTAGGGCAGGAATGTACAACAAATGAGGAATCCAGGGGCGCCTGGGTGGCTCAGTCGGTTAAGCATCTGCCTTTGGCTCAGGTCATGATCCCAGAGTCCTGGGATCAGTCCCACATCGGGCTCCCTGCTCAGTGGGGAATCTGCTCCTCCCTCTTCCTCTGCCCCTCCCCCAGCTTGTGCTTTCTCTCTCTCTCTCTCTCTCTCTCTCTCTCTCTCTTGCACTCACCCTCTCTCTCTCAAATAAATAAAATCTAAAAAAAAAAGAAAAGAAAAGAAATGAGGAATCCGGAAGTAAGGAATGCTCAGAAAATAAAATGGGGGCATGTCAATAAGAGTTAGTTTAAAGGGCCTCTCGTTGGTCAAATCTGGGATAACTCAAGTATCAAAATAAGAACAATGATGAATTATGATCCATTGAATAAAATACAAATCCATGAGTCTATACTAATGAGAGCGAGAGAAGTGGGGGAAAGAGGAAAGATGTTCCTAAAAAGAGAATGTCATGGTAAATACAGAGAGAGTGGTGGAGTTGGAAAATTTGCCACTCTGCAACTATCAGAAGTGATTGGTTTGGGGAAACATCATCATTGGATTCTAAA